TTAAAATTGAACTGACAGAAAAAATTAGGGCAATGACCAAAAAGTACAGGAAACAAAAACACATTTCAAATGTGCTAATAGCATAATTTGTGATCCGAAGAATATTTAACTCGCTGCCAAAGCGTGGCGGGGGCACAGCTGCACAGCCGCTGCCCCCCCTCCCCTAGAGCTCATCCGCCCCCAATTTGTCACACTTGCTGCAGAGCACCTCGGCCCTGGGCAGCACCCGTCGCACCTCGGCGCGCTGCTGGCTGCAGGCGGCCGGCTTGTGTCTGTCGCCGCACCTCCCAAGCACGATCCTCCTGAGCGCCCGCAGCCCGCTCTGCTCCAGCAGCGAGTGCAGGTCGCTGCAGTTCGTTGGCCACTCTTTACGCCCCGCCGTGCCCACGTACAGCCTCAGCTCCTCCAGCGTGCCGCCGTGCGCCCGCAGCAGGGACTGTGTGGTGGCACGGGGGAGGTACCACACGCAGAGCCACTGCAGGCCAGCGTGTCCCGGCGGCAGCGCGGGCAGCACGGGGGGCTCGGCGGACGAGTCGTAGATCATAGGACCCTCCACGTGCAGCCTCCTCAACCGCGGCATGGCGTGCACGGCGAGCAGGTGGGCCTCTTCGGCCCAATCCACGCGCAGCCGCTCCAGCGTAGGCCCGGCGAGCTGCAGCAGCTGCAGGCTCCAGGCGGGGTCCTCCTCGCAGTCCAGGCCGAGCAGCCGGGTCACCTGCGGCAGAACAGTCACTCAGGGCGGCCGATAACGTGCGGAACTGTCTGCAGTGTACCGGACCGGTCTGGCGCACACTCACCCCTGGCGCGTCCCGCAAGGCGGCGGCCTTCTCCTGCTTCTTTTCGTCGGGTCGACTGAGGGTGATCTTGTCTACATCCATCTCCAGCGGGAGTTGCGCCTCGGCAGGTGGTAGGTCGCGGGCGGCAAGGGGAGCTTCAGGAGGTGCGGGCGCAGCTGCAGATGGTACGGGCGCAGCTGCAGGTGGTGCGGGCGCAGCTGCAGGTGGTGGAGCCCGTGCACTAGCCCGGTCCTGCACAACCACACTGGGTGTAGTACAAGGAGACACACGGCAAGTCTCAGAACACTACATGCGGAGTGGTATAGTTAAGCCGTGCGCATGAACGCATGGTTTACTACCAACACCCGTGTAAAAAAAATTTCCGGATATTGACCCAAACTCGTCCGAAACTCGTCTGAACTTTTCGGACGACTTTGGTACAGTTTTCTGACTGCTCTAAGACGACGTTCGGACGTATGGATACCGTTTCGGGCGTCTCAAAGTCGTCCGAAATTCGTCAAACTGTGT